ACCATTACCAGTACATATCTAACCCTAAACCTAACCATTACCAGTACGTATCTAACCCTAAACCTAACCCACCAACGGCACTTCTTCTTATGGGCCCGAGTTTTGGGCCCCATAAGGAGCAGCTGGTCCTCACAATGTAGTATATGTTGAGAAAATGGGCCTTACAAGGTAACAAATACAAAGATGCACACACACACACACACACACAGAGGAACCAAGCCTGCGGCGATTTGATCATGTGTTTACCTGTAAAATCAGATAGACAGTGGGAAGTTAGATAGACCCTTTGAGGCCAAACAGTCGTGGATCTCTCTTGTGAGGAGTGGATATCATCGACTATCTCCAGCTTCCATCGCACGGCCTCGGTTGCAGAGGAGCACATGAATGAGCTTAGCACCTTCGCAGTATCTCTGGCATCACATAAAGACAACCTTGTGCTCTGCAATTTGGTGTGCAGCGCTCAGGTGCTTGTGCATGTCTCAACCAGAGGGGAAAAACAAAAGTATGACTGACATAATCATGTGTCAGAAGATTTATGGTCAGAGAGCAGAGAGGAGAGGAAAGCTCCAGAGCATATTTTCTTGCTCCTCCTCCTCCTCCTTCGAATTATTGTTTTTAGTTTTGTCCACTTTGTTTGAGTGAAATGCTGGAAGCTGTTGAAATGGATGCGCACGCTCACTAAAAGCTGTGTAATGAAGGCCTTGAGGGATGAATGATTTAACAGCGTTTTTAGAGTGAAACTGTGAGTCATTCCCTCATTCTGTGGTGGTATTTTTAGGTTGTCTTTGGAGAACCAATTCTAAGATCTTATCTGAGTTTAAGTAACTTGGTAATGAAAACAGAATGAATCAAATCCTTTTGCAGCTCGGTTAAATGTAGGTTCAAAAAACCTGCATCAGAAACTGTTGCATTTTCAAACAGCCGCCTGCGTCACCAGATAAAATCAAACGTCAGCAGTAAATCTGATCACTCGTGCAGTCGAGGCTGATCTAATGATAAACTACAAAGCAGGACGGGTCTTGCTTAAGTATGTTTAAAAGACTCGTTGTCGGCTTTGACGCTAATGGCTGGCTGGAGCTCAGAGCTGGGCGGCCCTGATGTGTCGGGTCATGGGAGCAGGTAGGGAAGCTGTGGCACACCTCCAGCAATAACAAAGGGAGGGAGCCAGACTTCCAACCATAAATCTGCTGCTACCACCAATTTTCAACTACCTGCAGGTGACTGGGTGAAAATGAGTGTTTGCATGTGTCTCTCTCCCTCTGTTTGTCTTTATAAATAAAACTCCAAAGGGCAAATGTAACCCCCACTTCAGAGCTACAAGGATATTACACCCCTGAACATGTTGGCATGGGCCCGGTCCTGTTTATGGAGAAACACGTCTAAGAGTATAATCAGCACTTTGGTGATCCTGCAGGGTGTCTGACATGGGCTGAGCTATCAAAGAAGGTGGCGTTTTGTGGTCTTGACTCAAACCGTGGACTCCTGTGTGACGAAGCTTTGCACCTGGCTGCGAAACATTGCAGGTGGATTACCGGGAACAGTAGCCAAACTGCACTATCATGCTGTAAATAGCAGGTTTAATGGCGTAAACATTTACAGCTAATCCAAATTTAACCCGAACCCGAGGGCAGTTTGTAATTTTAGAGCGTCACATTCAAATGATTCACACAAAGCTGGGACTCGGCCACCGTCTTTGAAATGCTGGCAGGTGAAAGTTAATAGGAGGCGCACATAAAAGGAGTTGGTGCGAGCTTGTTGTGCTGGAGATAATGCGATGCGAGCTCTTCGCACAAAAACCCTAGTTTAGCTTTAACCAGGGGCTTTTGAACAGCTGCCTTTTCTTATACAGGTCTTTTGTAGCGATATTATGAAAGCTGAAAGCCTTTGTCAGACAGAGACAAGCCTATGCTATTATCCCCTCACGCCCTTTTCCCTTTTTTTACTTAGATTATGTTGCCACTGACACACAATATGACTTATCTACCATAAGTTGAACCAGAGTTCTCCGCTCTGCTTCTCAGCTGTTTCACAAAGAAGGTGTGTTTTTTTTAGGGATGTACGATATTATCGACATGGTATCGGTATCTCCGATATTAGCGATAAGGTTAAATATCGGACATGGACCATTCCATCAAAATAACTCACCAATATAAAAGGCGCTGTTATTTGTATGACAACCCAGTGAAAAGGACGCCTGCAGCGCCAGCACAACGTTATGACATCATGCTCACCTACCTGTTATGAATGAATTTGACATCAAACATAACCCAAGTTGAAGTATTAAATCCTTTTCAGACCCCTTTTTGCCATCTGCATTTGGTAGCAGGACAAACTGACAAAGACCATGCAGAATAATGTGGTGTTTTAATTCCACAGCAGAGAAAGCTATGTAGTCTCTGTAGGTCTAGGGAAAAATATCGGTATCGGCTATCGGCCAAATAAGTTTTAACATATCAGATATTCGCCAAAAATCCAATATCATACATCCCTTTTTTTTTTTTTTCAAAAGAAGAGTTCAAAAATCCAGGTGAAAACTTCACAAGCCACATTCGTCAGGTTACTTCATCAGCACCTTCTGGGCCCGTCACCCCACTCCACATCCAGTGCTGTGTGAGTGGAATCTGCAAACGGCCGAGAGCTTCAGCGTCGTTAACATTTCCCTGACACGCCAGCCAGCCTCTCTTGGAGACCGCTCTGCATTTTCTCTGCTGCTCAGGAGTTGTTGTAGCAACTAGTGGCCCGTGGAGTGAATGAAGCAGATGTGCAAGTCATCTATCACCTGACAGCTCCCACTCCCCTCAACTGAGCAAGCCATCACGGTGACACGTCTCCCTGGCCAGCCTCATCAATTACAACCGTACCCTTCCATTAGAGCACAAACACCCATCTCCGCGCACACATTCAGCCGCTTTCCTCTCCGCAACATGGGCCCTCAATTAAGCCTGAATAACTTTCCCCTCTCAAAGAACATCTCTCCCTTTGGGCCCACTGTTGCACACATTGTGCTTGCCCTCTGAAAGCTGATTTATCGCCATGGTGACCACACGATGCCGGATAACATTTGTTTTTATCTTACAACGCCTCAAGGAACCAAATAGTGGTGCAAACATGTTTGGAACTAACTGAGTGATTTTATGTTAACTTTAAAGTTAATGCAATGATTGTATCGGTTAATTTATTCCTCTTTAATCAGGAATGAAGATAATTAAGGGTGGCAATGCATAAACAATGAAGCCCCCTTTTTTACTATTCTGCCATTGTTCTTCTTTTCTGGCGTCTGTGGAAAATCCCAAACAAAAAAACACGTCAAAACAAGTGAATTAATTGGGAATAGAGTGCCGAGATGTTTAGTTGTGGTACATTGTACGATGTAAGCAACGTTTGCTAAAAAAAAATCACCTTAAATAAGAAGAGAAGTTTGGTGAATTGAGTGGAAAAAGCCAGAGCTCTTTGACATATATTATTTAAAGCTTAACCCTGCTGCTGCTTTTGGATCTTATTCATCCACAAGGCCTCAATCTTAACACCGGGGCCTTTGACCCAAGGGCAGCTGGAGGGTTAACAGGGTATGGATAATTATTACTTTTTTTTACATTTTGTTTACAGAATTACACGTTCGTTTTATGATTACAATTTCCAAAAAATGATTTTACTCCACAAACTTTACAGTTCTTGTACAACTTGTACATCAAAACATAAGCATGTTTTTTTGTTTGTTTGTTTGTTTTTTACCACGTGTTTCTCAGGATTTCGTTTTCTCTCAAATCCCCCCACCGTGCAGCGTGCACACTTTCAAACACTTATTGACCTCCACTGTACAGCATCTAAGTTCAGAATTTTCTTTTCAAAACTTGAAGTTTCGAGTTTTTTTTTTAATGATTATTATTATCCCTTCTACATAAAACACAGATGAACAATTAAAAAAAATCAACATGGAGGACCAGACGCTTCTGCCACTTACAGTTCAGAAACTTTTTTTTCAGTTTCTGCTCATTAACTGTTTCAGGCTTAACTTTATGGAGGAGAGTGCTGTCAGGGAGTGTGGTTGCCATGGTGACCCTGGAGCTGCTGACAGCGTTTCTTTTGATCTTTGTTCCTTTGACGCCTCTTCTACAGTTCAAACATAAATCAGCATCATTTTGTCAGCTAAAACTAAGATAATGACAAAAGTAAAACCCTGTTCGTTGTTGGACTTAAAAAAAAAATAGTGTTGAATTTTTTTTTTTTTTTAGATCAAGTGATGAAATATCTTCATGCTCATTTATGAGAAAAGTTCCAAATTTAACCCAGATTTATCGCAATTTTACGACTGTTCAAATATGATTCATTCTATCAAAAGAGTGGCAAAGCCAAACATTCCTCGTAGGTTATTTCCTCATAGCATTTGCACTTTTATCAGAAGTAGGTGGTGCGCAAGGAGGCAATGATGAAAATAACGTCTTGCTGGTGTTATTCTGTTCCTGTATTCCATCAGTAGTAGTCATGAAATGCAGTAAACACAGATGTTTGAACACAGACACATATAAACAGTCTCCATCCTGTACAATACACAGCCATGGCAGTGACAGCTAGGGCCAACTTACATAAATCAACGTTTTTTTCTTGTTCACAGGGGTTCATAAACACATCTCTGTGCCTACGCGTGACACAGAGTATTAAAAAATAAGATATAAATAAAAACATTCATATAAAAATAGGCCTTTACAAATATAAACTCTATTAACCGATATTAAAAGTGGAAAAATGTGCTCATGTTTTTTGTTCGGTGTCTATTTCCAGTCAAATCAGCTTGAAGTGGACCCGACATCGGTGACTTCCACCTCGACAAGTGGGCTTTTCTAGACTAGCAGCAGAGGGAAGACGAAAAAACTCATGAAAAGGTCATGAAGGAGCGTCGCCTACAGCAGTTTACTCTGGAGAAACAGGCAGACTTGAATCCAGTGTGTTAACCGTGGACATTGTTGATCGCTCTAACAAACTAAAAAAAAAAAATCTGGACATTTAGCTACTTTTGAGACACAATGAAGAACATTTGCAGCTCTTTACAGAATAAATTAATATTAATAATTCTCATTCACTAGATACAGAATGTTAAATATTTCCAATGGCTATGTCTTGTCATGTGCACAGGAGGAGAAAACCACAGCAGTGTGCCCTCCGAGCTTCAAGTCCACCATCGCTTGTTTGCATTAGCCAAGTTCAAACAGTGAAGAACGTCCATCCATGCAGCTTGTGGACACCCCGTCCCACACGTCAGGCTACAGTTTCTTTGTTTTTCCATTTCCAGTGGTATCACCTGCATCCCAACAGTCTGTGAAAGGGGATGAAGAGCTTTGTGTGCAAAACATCCAAGACGCTCGGCGTTCAGCTTACTCCAGACATCGCGCAGTAGTTGCTCACCGAAAGTCTGCAATGGCAGACTTAGTTCTAAAATGTCCATGAAAACGCAGAAGAACATAGACGCTCACAGAATCTTCACACACTTACCAATAAATATTCTCACTTGCATGTGTACACCTCTGTCCTTTCGCTGCAGGTGTTGCATTTGACGTAGCAGCACCACAGGAACTTGCAGTTGCACTGCCAGACGCGGGAGTACTGGTGTGTGTTGTACCCTCGGCCGCAGCACATCAGGTCGCAGCCGCTGATGTGCTGCATCATTGTCTTGTTGCACACCCTCCCCTGTGTCCCCAGGCTCCCGGTCAAAGGGTCTGCCTCGCAGTAGTTCGGCGACTTTTCTATGTACACCAGATCCGTGTCCAGGGGCTTCCGGTACGAATGAGGCTTCTTGATTTTGAGGAATTTAGGTCGCTTGTTGCGGCTAGCTTTGACTGGTTCCACGTGCACCGCGTGGGCATATTTCTCCTTGAGAATGTAACCAATCTCGCGGAACTTGGGAAGCGTAGTCCAGCAGGTTTTGGTTGTGCAGGAACCCGAGACGCCGTGACACTTACACTCCAGTCGCATGCTCTTCTCCAGAACCTAGACGCAGAGAAACAACTCGGTTAAACAACAACTGGTAACCACAAAACTACAGCAGAAGGTTTCACCGTTATCTCATTTCACCTTACGTCAAATACATCGTCAGTGTCACAGCACCATGCAAAAGTCTTGAATCATCACCCATTATCATGCCTTTGCCAGTATGTTAGCAAAATACCTCATGTACCACTAGACAATGGTTTTGATCAAACTCCACATCTGATTACCTTTTGAAGCAAACTGGATCCACAACTAATCAATCTTAAGGTAGTATCTCACTAGGCTGCAGTCGTTTTAGACTAGTCGGCAACTCAGAATTACGTATACCGGCAAAAAGACGCATATTTAGATTATTTTTTTTTCAATTCAGGAAAATTGGTGGGTTTTTGAAAACCACAACATAGTTTTGTTTTCACAACGTACAAAACTGTGTTCTTGCCAGCGCACAATATTTTGTTGCCCGCCCTCATCCACATCACACCTTTCTCGACCCACTTTACACCTAGACTCCACCACATGTATGACTTAACCTACTGAAGTATACGTTGGAAATGAAGTGTTTGAACGACCCTAAAAACCAAAATGAAGAACACCCAAGCTATGCAGTGAAATCCACACTGGCAGAGCTTGTTTGATCTGACTATGGACAGCCATCAGGGCATGCTGCAGCACCTACTGCACCCATACTTCCCATGGCCTGGTTCAGGGCTATAACCACGGATGTGTCCTGGTTAAAGGTGAGCAGCAGTCATTCAAAATTCAAAGTTATAAGAATGTATGCGACAATTAAATGTTAAATGTTTTGAAACATTTTGGAGACTCCCTCATGAATACTGTTCATCAACGAGCCCGCTACGGTCGCAGCTAAGTGAGATACTACCCTTATCAAACTCAAACATGGCTATACCTCAGTCAACATTACAAATATTGATTTAAAGTTGCATGTGATAGCTTAAACTCATCCCCACTACCTATAGTGTGAAGTTTTGGCATGAAAAAGAGAGGGTGATATGAATTTTTTCAAATAATACTACTTTCATTTAGTTGTACTTTGCTTTAAGGAGACAGATCTTCTTGTAATATTGTAAAATGATCTGGATCAGTCAAATTTATTTGACTGATTCTTTGGGGAATCATTGAGCATGAACTTTGATGTTTTGAACCATTTTGGCTATGGCTGCCTCAGAGGAGTCCATGGGGGAGAAGGCAGACTCCAGAAACCATCTTATCCCCATCAAATTGGTTGGCCCATTATGTGAGTAAGCCATTTATGGGACTGAGTTTGTTGTGGCTCCTCGGACTGATGAAGTCCTTTGGATGAAGGATGAAACATTTCAGCAAAAAAAGAAACCGTCCAGAGGAGCTGACTGAACTTTGTTGGATTTTGATCTGTATTTAACAATCTTCCCGATGTGTCACAGTTTATCTTTTGACTTTGGCAGCTTTTTCTGCTAATTTTCAGTTCAGTGCCTGACCAGTCAGAGGAATTCTTTGTTTTTAGTTTTGCTTTGCTTTCTGATCTAAAAATCACCAGTAGGGGTGCACGGATAAATCGGCCCTGATTTCCTTAATTTTGGGAAATCGGAAATCGGCCGATACTTGCATGAGAAACCGATTTTACCGATTTTTTTAGTTTTAACAACAATTGTCTGAACTTCATTTATATTTCAGAGCACTACCTCATGGCCAGTTAAAACAAGTTTGTATTGTTTCTAGGATATACCATACCATACAAATTTATTTATAGAGCATGTAAAACAGCAACAAGGCCAACCAAAGTGCTGTACAATTGAAACAAACAAGCACAGCGAACAGGAAAACATAAAATAAAAATATAGATACAAATAGCAGCAGATAATAACTAAATGACCAACACTGTAGACTACAGACAGGATCAAAACAAATCACACCGTGTCAAAGGCAAGGGAATAAAAGTGGGTTTTCAGGCTAGATTTAAAGACTGAGAGTGTGGGAGTCTGCCTGACACGCAGTGGCAACTCATTCCACAGTCTTGGACCTGAAAGCCCTGTCACCTCTGAGCTTATGACGAGTTTCTGGATATTGTTCAAGGGTATGTTTTTCAACAAAATAATATTGGAACATTGAAGGTGCATTGTGACCTAACACCTGACAGTGTCACTTATAAAACAAAATCGTATCGGCCAAAATCGGAATCGGCAGGTCAGACTTTTTAGAAATCGGTGATTGGCCAGAAAACTGCAATCAGTGCACCCCTAATCACCAGGCATGAAAAAGCTCCTGAATTTAAGGGATGAACTGCTGTTGTGTGACATGACCAAGGTCAAGAATCACATTTTAAACTTTATATTTAGGCCCTTTGATACACAATGACACGGATTGCTCACATTTCTACTACTGAATGTACAAAAAAGAACATTCCAAAATGTTTATTTAAATAAAATTGTACTTGAGCACCAGTTGTAGGTATTTTATATGATTCCCAAAGAGCAGTAAGCTAGACCTTGTCATACAGTTGATGACCACCTGAAGAATGATGTATCTCTCAGACCCATTAGGTCTTTGCTACTTCTTGACGACATGGCAGATTATGTCCATCTATAGTTGTCTTTTTGTCCTGACCTTTATTTTGTCCTCCACTTCCCAGTTTCTCACTTTTTTTAAACACACCCTGCACAACATGCCGTCATGGTCAGGTACCAAGACTGAACGAAAAATGAGTGGAAAAGCAGCCAAAAGTGCAAAGTACAATGTCTGAGAGACCTTCAGAGAGAACTACAGCTCAAGAATCTGGTTTGCTTGACCCCTGCAGAGTAGAAGCTGAAAAGATAAAACAATAGCTCTGTATGTCTCAACAATAGCATCTTATATGTAATCAGGTTTGAAGCGCCTAAATGAAGCAGTTCTTCTAATGCCAAAGTCCTAAAGCAACAAGCAATATGAAACCTATCAAACAATGTGACTTACAAATCCACGACGGCAGGGGATTAAATACAGCCCCACCACACTGCAGTGTAATACGTATACACAGGAGCCAAAATAATGTATCAGATTTCACGCTCTGTGTCTGTAGTTACCACACACAACCCACAAAACGTCATGAGTGACTGTACAAGGCGCCGAGTGACTAGGATTACCGCTAAACCCTGAGCTGATGACAATGAGAAGAGCCACAGGAGTTTTCCCTAGCAGCAAGGTCAATTGCAATTTCCTTTTTTTTATAATGCTAGTTGTTTGGTACGTAATCTGCTCTCCTGAAGCCATTCGCTTGAAATTTATGTCCGTGTTCCTGGCGAGAAAGCTGTCCCATTAAACCCCAAACACAGACGTGTGAACAGGAACTAGAAGAAGGAACTTTTTCCTGGGTGGACCACTTCATAAAAAGCTTGGCTTCACCTCCCCAATCCATCAGATGTCCTGTAACTAACACTTGTGACAGCCATTGTCTGCACGTCTGCCTTTGGGGAGCTGTGAACGGTGCTCCTGCTCGGTGTCACCGCTTTTGATTAACATAAATAATAGGGGGTGGGGGTGGGGGTGGGGGGGTCTTTCAAAACAGAGGTTCTATTTATTAGTGGAAAGAAAAGGGAAATAAGCAAGGCCGCTCAACGTTTGAATCCACAAGCAGAAGCTTTTCCCTGGGAGAGGCGAGCTAGCTGTCCAGATAAGCCAATTTGAAGTCATGGTTCGAAAGCCCACATTTAAAAAAACCCTGCTTTGTATAAATGCGTGGAGACTTTTCAGCCTCTGCGTCAGACGTGTTAGTTGTGTGAATCAGGCCACTTTGGCAGAGTCAAATAGAGAGAGAGAGAGGATATCGGTTAACTTGGGCTCTTCATTCTTCTAAGCCTTTCTTTGGCACGTTATGCTGCCCAGCCTCTAACTTCTAGACCTGCTGGAGTCTCTTTGTCGCGCTGCAGTGTTCTGCAACCATGCATGCAGGGAAAGACTATAAATGAAAACAGCTCAGCAAGCGTTCCTCCTTGGTGTGTCATTTTATTTTGTTTGTTGTGTCTTGATTTGTGGAATTTTATATTTTTCTTGTGACTGTGACCACCAAGTCATTAAAAAATGGGATCTTGTGCCAAAGTTTGTGCAAATACAGTAGTCCCTCGTTTATCGTGGGGGATCCGTACCCTGAAGACCTGCGATAAGTGAAAAAGCGCGAAGTAGGAATAGTAGTACAAGAAGTTAGTAGTTTATTTTAGTA